CTCTTTATCCCAGTTTTCAGACTTCACCCAACACTGCTCCAAGCAAAGAAACTTATGCTGTTGGTTGAGCTCTGAGCTTGGCGATTTGGTTGCAAACATTCTGTCGCCATTCGAGGAGACATCATTGTCTGCGTGTTTTGAATTGTTTGAACAATTTAATTGAATCTGAATTGTTTGAACAATTCCCTGTTGAATTTGAATTGTTTGAACAATCCAAAATGCACTGACAATATCTCCTCGAATGGTGACGAAATGTTTGCAAATGTTTGCAGAAAATATGACTTCAGCAACAGTGGTCAATGCCTGGAGCTCACTACCTGACTCTGTTGTCACATCCTCAAACCCCTAAAACTTTAACCTTAAACTGTCTACCGTGGATCTCACTCCATTCCTAAGAGGTCTGTAAGGGGGTGTGCGTAAGCGCACCAGTGTGCCTACCATCCCTGTCCTACTGTTCCCATTTATCCATTTATTCATACTCATTTATTATGTATATACTTCGACCAGTTTATACTTATATGTTTATATGTTATGTTCATACTTACACTTGCTTTCTCATGCATGCTTGACGAACAAATAAATTGCCAAGCTTGGAGCTCAAACCAACAGCCTAACTACCAACCTGGGCTACTAATACTTAAACACATTTCAAAGAAATTTATTCTGGATCTTCCAAACTATATTTTGGACAACCGTGTGAACACTATCATTGGGACCGATAGCCATCTTCATGTTGTGAGAATTGTGATTTCTCAGTAGGATCTGGTATGGTTGATCACAAACTGTGGATAATTTTAAGGGGAAGTAGTCTACTTCAGAAAGCTGTGATGTTTTAAAATTTTTGTTGACTTCCATTAATCTAGAAGGGTGCTGATCATCATCGCTGATCATCTACAACTGGCAGCAAAACTAAAGATTATTTCCAATTTTTGGAACTTCTTTTCAAGGGAAGACCAAGCTAAATCCATTTTTGTTATTCTTTTTCCCATTTTAATCTTTTTATTGAAAAGAAATCAGACAAGTTTTGGCAGTTTAACCTGACTTTTTTTTAAAAAAAAAAAAAGTCTGAAACACATTTTAATCAGTGTTTATTTATTTTTGGTACTGTCCTATTTTAAATAGATTTTGTATGTATGTATATAAAATATAAAACCTATTTTACTTGTTATTTTATTACAGTGGGCTTCCTGAGCACTGCATTTGATGGAAAAAGAACATAGATTTAATACACATAAATAAAATCAAGGAGGCATTGAGAACCCCGAGGATGATTCTCAAAGTCTATTTTCCTATTCAGAGTTGTCTCCAAAAGAGCAGCTGCTTCCTTAAACAAATCACCAACATCAGGTCAGCAATGGGTAATATTGAAAAAGCAAAGTTGGGAGTGAGACAAAACAGGCAGCGATACTCTACTCCATAACCTCAATTTCATGCCTCCAGAAGTCCTGGACATCACCTTCCATCATTCACAGGCAATTTCAGCGATGCCACTTGAGAATTCTATGAGTTCAACACATCTTGGAACCAAGTTGAGGAAAAATGTGTTCTAGAATGAGATCATACTTCATGAGACACCAAGACCCCCATGCCTCTGGTTTCCTTGGGGACATCAAATTTCAGTCAAAAACTGATATTTAAATCAGGATTTGATATATTCTCCCTAAAATGCTTAAGCCAAACAAAAGGCAGGACAAGAGTGTTTCAGATGAAATAAATAAAAGGATTGTCCACCCACAGTACCGTTTCACAGTCACAATCCAATTTCACAGTCCATACAGAACCTGACAGCTTGTGAACATGTGAATTTCCCCCCTCAAATTGGCACACCGATCTTTCTTCTTTATAGCCAAGAGGTTACACGCATTAGCATTAACATCTGGAACAAGGATAGACTTATTATTTATTTATTTTAAATATTTTTAGTTGTCCATCTACCTAGAAGGATTGGGGGTGACATGATAACAGTCTTCCAATATCTAAGGAGTTGCCATAAAGAAGAGGGAGTCAAGCTATTCTCCAAAGCACCAGAAGGCAGGACAAGAAGCAATGAATGGAAACTAATCAAGGAGAGAAGCAACCTAGAACTAAGTAAGGAGAATTTTCCTGAAAGTGAAAACAATTAACCAGTGGAACAGCTTGCTTCCAGACGTTATGGATGCTCCAACACTGGAAGTTTTTAAGAAGAGATTGGACAACCGTTTGTCTGAAGTGGTATAGGGTTTCCTGCTTGAGCAAGGATTTGGTCCCTTCCAACTCTGTTTAGTTTAGTTTAGTTTTAGTTTAGTTTACTTTACTTTATTGTCATTGCACCTCATGCAACAAAATCAAACACCACCTTCAGTGCACATCATGACCATGAAAATAAACACAAACACACATCCTTCACCCTCCACACATTGAACCGAAAATCCCCGACACCGCACCAACACTGCACTATACAGCAGAATTCAAAAGAGCTACTGCCCTGGGATAGAAGCTGTTTTTCAGCCTATTTGTCTGTTTTTATTATTCTGTACCGTCTGCCAGATGGTAATAGTTCAAAAAAAGGACTACCAGGATGAGATAGATCTTTGAGAATGTTTTAAACTGTTATTCTGTTAGCCATGTTCATGGAAATTATAATTTAAAATGCAAGAAAAACACAAAAAGCAATTAAAACGTATACATACTAAAATATAAATAAGTGGCCATGAATAATGGAATTGTACCATTCTGACATTTCAAAAGTCAAAATGTCAAGGGTTTTCAGGATTAAGTCATGAATTGATTCCATAAAGTAGTGGTGTGTATTTTCCGTTCCATGCAGAAGCCGGAAGAAAGGTGGGATGGTTTAAGGAACAGCAGGGAGATACTGCTGCACTTGTGTGAGATCTAAAACCTTTCCTCTAAATTATCCTTCGAAGTGTACACATATTTAAATTACAACTTCTGAAATAAGATAACCACATTTGACACACCCAGAGGTCTATTTCCTATTTTTTTAAAAAGTTCAGATTCTACACCTACATAATCCCACCAAATTCAAAAAAAAACTCAAGGTAAAGATTAAGACATTAATGAACAATCCCATCAAAGGAGCAACTGGAAGGAACTAGAAGAGCTTCAAGGTCCCTTTTGACTTTGTTATTCTGTTAAGTTAGGTGCACAAATGTTACAGAACTGAAGACCTCCATTTCATCAGTTCTTTTTTTCTCTCCAGTTTCCAAGTTCTCCTTTTCACATTCCCTCACACAGTTCCTTATCTTCTTGTCCTTCATCTTCAGCCCAAATTCCAGCTGCCTCCACCTTATCTCACTCATTTCCAATTATTTTTCTTTACTCAAAACCTCTACCAAGGCCATCATGAAGCAGATGTAATCTTTAAAGAACTCCCTTATTTTAATTCCCCAATGGTCTGCCGACATGCATCATCCCCTTTCAGAAAATCACAACTTTTCATCTTGGACGACTCAAGATTTTGTTTTTTGTCTCTTCAGAGGGCCAAAATAATCAAACTGACCATCTTGAGATCTTTAGATGGGATGTTCAAACCTTCTGCATGTCTCCAACAGTTGTCAGATTTTAAAGCTTGTTGCTCTCCAAAGCTGGATGTTTGTTTCTATACAAATACAGCTACATCATCTCTTTTTTTCCAAGTGCAATCATTTCCACCCAGTGCAACCTTGAACATGGGCTACACCAATTTGTCAGCAGCTCCAAGTCCTTCTCCCCAAATATCCTAAACGTATTTTCCAATATTCTCTATTCTCTTATCATTCCTTGAAACCTGAATCAAGTTTCTTAGAATTTCTGGCTTTTCCCCCTCATTACTAGCTCGATGCTGCAAATTTCAGTTGTGCTCCCCTGTCCATAGAAGGTCACCCCTTCCTCCATTTTGCAAATTCAAAATGTAACCTCCCAGTATTTTATATTTATCACGCCAAAGCCTTACACCCTTGTAGATGAATTCTCCTGATCAGAAGCGTGCTAACCACACCACTTATACCATTTGACACACAACATTCACACCCATCCCAGGACTCCTTAATTTTGGGAGTGACTTCCCCCTGACAACACCCTCTTTCATTTGTGGCCATCAGAGGCAATCCTCAAGTTATTCCCATCTCCCCAAAAAGTCACCCCAACTCTGCAGAAGTGCCCTGACCCGCCCAATTTTTCTTGAATTCCTTTAAACACAACTGTTTCCCAATGAAACATCACCCCGACCCTCAATATTTAAACTCTGGCTTGCCCTGGAAAAAGTCACACGCCAAGCATCCCCGAACCCTCAAAATTTATTTATCAAATATCCCCCAAATCTTTGCAAACTCCAAGAATCCCAGCTGTTTTGCAACACCTTCCCTCTAAGCAACCCTTGCACCCCCAAACCTAAGGGCCACCACTCTTGTTGCAAGTCTAGCCCCCCCTGCACCCCAAACCTTCGCAGCGTGCCCCAACTCAGGCCAATCCCTCATCAGCTTCCTGACCCCCCAAGAAAGGCCTCAGAGCTCCCATCTTCAGCTCTGCACCCCCAAATCCTCCTTCCTCCCAAATTTGACCCCCTCCATCCCCATCGTCCACACCTGCCCATCCTTGCTGAGCCCCCCTCAAAGTCCCTCCAGAAGTTTTAGAGACCCTCCCTAAGTTCCCCCCCCCCTCGGCCATACCTTCCCACCTGCC